CAAAAGAGACGTGTGTCAAGGTAACTAATGTTCTTGACATTTCTTTTCGATTGATGCTACGTTCTTCGACCTGATATTTAGAAGTTAAACGTCGAAGGTAAGATATATGAGAGAGTATAGTAGTAAGTTCGTTAAAAGTGTATTGATAATTGAGAACCAAACGCTCAATAATACTGACATTTTTATTGATAGACATCGGTATGACAATCTCGGCGCTTCGAGATCCATGATAACCGGAAAATTATTCGATAAATATCACTCAGATAATAGTAAGAATCGTATCCAAATTGAATGATCAATGAGAAAAGACTAGGTAGAGAATACAGATAAAAAAGAACCATTGGAAATTTATAGTCTGAAATTCTACTTAGTATAACTAATTCAAAACGATTGATTGACGAATCGACATTACAATCAATAAAAAAATCATGTATCCATGAATCATCATTTAAGTGAACACATACGATGTTTATTTGGTATTATAAAATGTCGACAGAATTTTTAAGTCTTACTTGTTATTTGAAAGAAAGACGATGGTTGATATATATCATAAGCATCAAGATATTCAAAGATTTCACAGAAAACTTCATTGGAGAGATTCTCTAAACACGCTGTTATCACACTATATGATAGTTATATTTAAAAAAGAAACGATATAATTTAAAGTATTATATCTTACTTACTTTCCTTTATCAAGTGTTTCTAGAGGAAATTCGGAAGAAATGAAAAATTACTGAAATATTTAAATGCATAGCTTGCTTTTCAACTTCTTTGTTTTTGAATCTGACAAAGAATGAAAATTTAATTAGTGTTTAGTTGGAATTATGTCCATATTCATCGAAGGATATAATCTATAAAGAGCACCAATCTATTAATGTTTTTTGCTGATTTCAAAAGCAAGATGCAATATATTTTTTCATTTTATTTATTATATTATACTTGCACATGAGAGAAATAGAATACAAAATTATATCTGTTGAGGATTATTGACGTAAAGGTGATGCATTGTTCTTTTTTTTTTTATTTCCTATACACTAAATATCTGTAGCGATCCATGTGTCATTTTTTTCTCTAGTATTTACTAAAGAAAAGAACATTATTTTGTAAATGATTCAACGACTAGAGAAAAACGAAAATGCACATAAAAATATTCTATGCTATTGCATAATACAAACAACTTGGAAAGCGCTTCGAAAAATTGGGATCCTGAAGGGTAATTTTCTCAAAAACTATATGTGAGATTTTGCTCAAATTTTTTTTCTGAATACATCCCTACTAGTACTATTTATGATCAAAATATCAAAGTTCTCATTTTAGTATCAACGAAGAGACGGTCATGTCAAATTACCATAGAAATGGGCCCTGAATCCCTAGTGTAAAAGAATATTTTGGATTTTTGAAAAAGAAAATTCGCATTTGACTAATGGTGGTTTACCATGTTGAGCTCCAATATGACATTACAAGAGGTTTTTCAAGCTACATAAACGTGTTTTCCAGGTACAAACTGTTGAAGAACTGAGGTTTCTATTAAAGAACCAGATGGTAAATGACATTTCAGCTTTGGAGTTTCGGTTTTATAACAGTTTTTTAGTGTTCTAACTCTCAGTTAAGTATAAAATCTGAAGATGTGTTGTTCGTCTTATTGAGGGATTACGAGTAAGTATCTAATTATAGTCTGCGGTTTCGGATCAAGTTTTAAATACACAATTGTAGCCGTTGCATAGCCTATTGCATCAAGGAAAAGGTGATGCTGTACACTCTAAAAGAAAATTGGTTTTTTACCCATCCTGCACCTGTGGGAGGAGTATTTGAAGTTTCGAACTGACCTAATGAGCTTAAAAGAAAGATCCGCTAAAGACTACGAAGTCTTTGCAAGTTTGATACATTGGCACAAAACCTCGAAGGTTCTTTCCCTGGCTACAGATTTGGTTATGAACCGATTTGTTTATAGCGTACCATAGTTTTTGCTGAGAGTTATAAAAGGGTCAACTTCGTTGATGCTTCATTAAATAATTAGATTTGAAAGCGTTTGAAATAAAGGACTCGAAACATCAAAGAAAACTATTTAACCAGTATATCTCTTCTCATTCTCTCAATGTTATTATTGACACGTGACTCTGTATTTTGACGTTTACTTGTTACATCGTGAAGCGTAATTGAGAAAATTTTTAACTAGATTCATATTGGTGGTGTCGAAATGAAAATCTAGTTTGAAAATGCATCAAAACTTAAGCATGGCTTTAACAAAATAATACTTTTTTCACACTTACAACATTTCAGTTTTATATTAAAGAATGGACTTTACAAAACATGAAAAACTCTTGTAATGTCATATTGGGCTCAGCATGGTAAACCACCATTAGTCAAATGCGAATTTTCTTTTTCAAAAATCCAAAATATTCTTTTACACTAGGGATTCAGGGCCCATTTCTATGGTAATTTGACATGACCGTCACTTCGTTGATACTAACCCTTTGAGTATGGGCGACGTGAATTCGTGTCCTGAGCCTTCGGGATCTGAATAACTTTAAAAAACATGATCTGTTAATTATTTAATGAAATGAATTGTATGGAGATTTGTGTTTAGAATATTTGTGCGTTAAGATTATCTATACTTACTCATGATTATTGGTTGTTTCTCAATCCTCTGAGTACCCAGAACGATCAATTCGACAGCTGGATCTCACCAGATCTTATCGAATCCCATTGAGATCCTGCTGACGAAACCACTAACAAATCCCTAGTGTCGAAATACAATCAGATCCTGCAGGAGCTGCTTGAAGTCCGATAAGATCCTACAGGAACCTCGTCAGAATCCGACTGTTGGATTTAGTCAGATGTCCGCCAGACTCCAACGCTAAGAATCTGTTAATGGTTCCGTTACCCGAATTCCCATCGGATTTTATAGGACTCATCGGATCCATATTGAATTAATTTACCTGAACAGGGAATTATTTTTATATAGTCAAAATTTTTACTATATAAAAATAATCCCGTACTCATAGGGCTAAAATGAGAACTTTGATATTTTGATCATAAATAGTACTAGTAGGGATGTATTCAGAAAAAAAATTTGAGCAAAATCTCACATATAGTTTTTGAGAAAATTACCCTTCAGGATCCCAATTTTTCGAAGGTTCGGACCTTTCTCCAGTGCATATCTCGAAAACGATAGACTTGATAGGGTTTGAGTTAATGACACTCGAACTGGAATAGATTTTTCTACATTTGTATATTAAAACGATTTCTATAACACTCGTGCTGAGTTGGCAGTAACCATACGAAATTCCTATATAACTATGAAATTTTCCTATTTTTGTGGATCGCGCCAAATCATGAAACTTTACGATGGAGTCTTGAAAATTATTCCATATATACAACTTTGAATGTTCTATCCAATGGTCGTCTCAGAATTTCTGTAGCATGTTTCACTAAAATAGAACAAAGACTTTCCGGGAGCTATTTTTGCTAAAAATTGAGTTTTTCAGCCTGATTTGCAGCCAAATCGCTCACGCTAAACTAAAACAAGGTCTGTTTTCTTACACAACTCGATGAGTTCTACAAAACTAGCACACGAAGAAATTGCCGGCTGAATGTGCTGTAAAAAGTGGGAGAACCTGCGTGGAAGCACCCTTGATCAGATCTTGCAACAATTATGTTTTCTCTTAAAAAAGTAAATAATGATATTTATCACCGAATATTACACATATTTGGGCAATTAACGCACAATTTTTGACTCTAATTAAGCATATATATTATAGAATATTTATAATAATGGATTGAAAATTTTACTAATGATTCTACTGGATTCCAAACACAGTCTCAAAATTCCATAAGATTTGAATGTACTTGGACTAATATCATTTCTTAAGTGGAAGGAGGCCTTAAAGCAAAACACTCTGTTGCATAAAAATCTGTGAATGGACTAAGTTTTGCTCCTTGACAATAAAAATCAATACTGTTCTTTCAACTCATTTGAAGATTCAACTTGTCAACTCCCAACAGATTTTTGCATTTGATCCCAGAACAAGTTATCGATGGGATACAATCCAAGCAAACTAATCTGAAACGGCTGAATTTATTTACACTTCTGCTTTCCACGAAGTGCAGTCAAATGACAAAATGCTTTTGTTTATCATTCATTTTTCTCAAGTCTTTTTGTTAGTTGATGCGTATTTCTTGACCATTATGTTCTATTTCTTCCTCTTCTTAGCATTAACGATATGTAATACTTGAATCAACCTTGAGTATCACCTAGTTTTTAAAAAATCTATACACAATTATTTCCTCTTTGTCAAGACAAAATAATCATATTTGCAGAAAGAGAGAAAAAAAATCGACGTATTACGTTGATCATAGTCATAAGAATTTTTCTTTTCCTTTCTTTTGTTTGTAAGAATTTCAGTTTATCACTATCTCTATCTCTATAAAGAACAGTAAAGACGTTATAATTGCATCAATTCATTAATTACGAAAACATATTGTTTTTTTTGGTTTGAGATATTTCATGATGTAATTTCAATATATTCTCACTAAACAATAATTAATTAACGAAATAAATTAATTCTAGCTAGAAAGTTAGGTAGGTTATATGTAGTAAAAGTCTTTTGTAAGAAGAAGATACGAGATTGAGCATAATGAAATGATTAATGAGAACGGAATTATTTTCTCCACATACAACTAATGAGGATACTTGGTCGTCCAAGATTATAATAATATTTTTTATTTCATCATTTTATTGTTCAGGCTTAAAAAAAAGGTCAATTTAGATTTCATCATATTAAAATATATAGTACGCATCCACATTCTTTTGTTTTTTTGTTTTTTTTTATAACTTGATCGTCAGACATTTCAGACTGAAACGAGAAAGAAAAAGTGAGATAGTCGTCCGCAATGCAACATTGATCTAATAATATATATATGCTTTCTCATACATAATTGTCCTGTCATTTTTTTCAATCATTCTATCAATATACGAATACTCAGCGTTTACATTTAAAATGTGTCGTGCTGTTTCTCATGAGGAAATCTTCAATGTAAGTAAGATGAAACAAATTGCAGTAAAATATAAAAATATTTATAAATAAAAGAATCATATATGACATACTATATGTTATCATTGTTGATTCTACAGATTTTGTGCGTGAAAAGATTACATTAATTGATAAAGTTACTTGACTACTACCATGTCTCAGTTAAAACAATTCTTTCGATCGTTTTCCTTTGCTCAAATTTTCTTACTTATATATATGTTCATGATCGGAATAAAGTTGAATCTAGCAATGCAAGATACTAGTTATAATATAGGTTATAGGTTTTCATAGTTCAACATTAGAAATAAAGCATCATTCAGATCAACTCGAACTTTCTGAAAGATGATTAACTTAATCGTTTTGACATGTATAATTTCAACAGTAAAAGTTCAATATTATCAGATATTGTAGGGAAAAATATAAGAAAATTTTTAATAATCTTTAGACCGTTGAAAGTTGATTAAATAATACTTGGATATCTTCCTCCAATCGAATAAATTTGTTTTGTTTCTTTTAGATATTTGAAGAGCCACCAGCGCCACCACCATCTGATTTAACACCATTAACATCTCATCAAGTTCCTTCAATAACAACATATACAAATGATAATATTGAAAATCATGGTATTACACTTGGTACTGGTATTGCATTTGGACTTGGTATTGGTATTGGATATGTCATCTCCAAATCTAAGTGACTAATAACATCAATTCAAATAATTCTGTTCTCTTTATTCTAATTCATATCTTATGTTTTTTTGTTGTTGATAACTTTAATAATTAATATGTTTTTTTTTCAATACAAGGGTGCGGGTGTGGGCGTGGGTGTGTGGAGTGTGGGTTTAGATCTTCTCATCACACCCACACCCACCTATCCACACCCACACACACCCACATCCACCTATCCACCCCCACCTATCCACACCCACCTATCCACACCCACACACACCCACACCCACCTATCCACACCCACACACACCCACCTATCCACACACCCACACCCACACCCACATAATGGCCGTAATGGGTGACCTAGTGGGATGCTCTGTGAGCCTTTGTCGCTGAGACTTCCTTTATCGACCCACACCTGGTGCGATGTTGTGTGAGTCTTTCTCTGTGTGGATTGTGGATGCCTGTAGGCGTGAGTCTACTTCCTACCCAAACCCGACATCTACACTCTCACACAGCCACACATCCACATCAACACTCAAAATCCTCAACTGTGAGAGATATGGTATCCATTTTTTTGGAGTATCCATCTCGTTGCACCAAATGCACTCAAAATCCTCAAATTTGAGAGATAGGGTATCCACTCTGATGGATATCATGACTAGTACCTTATCGGTGCCCAGCCTTCAGATATTATGGCATCTCTGATAAATCGAGGGAATAGAGGCACTGAATTCAGAACCGTCATTAGAGTTGAAGAATGGCTCTAGTTGTTGTCTTGCTGATATAACACAAGAGAGAAAGGCCAAGAAACTTCTCTAGTTTCTACAACAATGCTCGACAGAAAAAAAACTGCATGATAGCTTGTTATAAGCTCGATATTCTGACACCTACTAGTTTTACAAGAAAAGTCACATCACTTTGATCAGAGGCAGTAAGATGAGTTACAACATCATTTTTATATAAGATCCGAAGATCAAACTTTTAAATATTATAGGAAATGGTCTTGATTCGGACGGATAACTAAGAAAGTTTAATTATCGTCACCATATTTTTATGATAAACTTAGTTATAGATCGAAGTAACATTTAGAGCCTTTTCAATGCGAATGTGTTAATATTGGAAGCGTTCACGGATATTTTATTGAATTCTCAGATTAAGAAAATGAAAGCTTTTCAATAAAAAAAACAGAAGAAAAATATCGGACACATGCTAGTTTTTTGTGTTCACAGGAGTTATCCGAACGAGAAATACAATATCATTATCCTTCGTACTAGAAACGTATGTAAACGATGTAAATCCAGCTACAAATCACTGCTCCTACTCTTTGAAATCTACTAAGTATGCTGGTGACAACACTTCCATCGCAGTTAATAGATTATGACCTCTGAGACGTGTATTCTATCCCGTGAAAAGCCTTTTAACATGGTCCCGCCTTGCCAGGCAGGATCGGATAGACTACGCTTATCGTGAGGGCTCTATTAGAAGTAGATATATTTCATTTTTGTAAAATTACGGAAACATTCCACGGCACATGTGCAAAATATTTGACTGTGCGCAATGAATTTCTTTCATTTTTCTTCTGTTTCGGGTTAAGGTTGTAACGCAATTATTGTTTTATGTATAAAACATTGATAGAAAACGTAGTTCTAGTTTCGAAGTGAAAATTTCGAGTAATATGTAAAACACTGATGGTGTTTCAATGATCGGTTTAGTCAGAGTGAATTTTCAAAAAGGTACTCGTACATAAGATATGCCAATGATAACAAGAAAAAACAATAATGGTACCTGCCGTGATTAAGGGATAATTTAATGTACTAATCAAGTAATATAAAAAAGTTATCTTAGTTTTCTTTAGGCATATGACACGGTCATGTCATCTTCCGACATTCTTTCTCTCCAGATACGGCTTTTCGATAGCAGAACGCCATAAGGATATCAGTATTGTATGAATTCAAAGCCCTAGCTTCTACTTCACCTTGAAAGTCATAAAAACATAGATGAATACACCTGCAGTAAAAGCTGATCAGAATCTTTTAGATTTTCGACATACATCACAGCTGTACCCCGTTTTCTATGTCTCTCAGACTTCCAATCAAGAGAGCATAAACACTTATCAATTTAATTCGAATATGGTGTTTCAACGACACTACCTTAATACTAAAAACTAACCCATTATAGCCGAACTTAGAAGAAATGTCAAATTTAAATATATTTTGCATTTCTCACCGTTCTATACTCTTTTCCAGTTTTGCGCGACTACAAATTGATAGAACGTGAAAAGCGAGATATATACTTCGAGTTTGACGTTCAAGGAAGACTGTTTTCGTGCTGAACATCAAATATTTATGGCCAAATCTAGTCGGAAAAGGCGAATTTCACCAGAATTTAGAGTTTTTCACTATGTCCAACACATTTTTCAATTACTCTTGTGATTATCAACCATGAGAGCTTGAAAAATTACTCTTGTGGTCCAAGTTTCGTGTTACGATAAGAGTGGCTTCTCAAAAAGTTATAGGTAGAAACTTTTATGTATTTAAAAAAGGTCAATTCCTGCACCGGAATGACCATTTTTTTCCGAAAGTGACGTTTTTACCGACTTAACAAGCTTAGAGCTGTAGAGAACTTAAAATTTTGGGTTAAAATGATGTTTCCAGCTAAATTTGAGTGAATAAATATTGAATAAGGACCCCAATAATGAAGGATACAGCGCATACAGTGGTTAAGACTATTCCAGGAATAAAGAGATTTTGAGATCTCTCATTCTGATATTCTTAACCAGCACTTCTCAATCTATCACTACATCTGAATTTGACTAATGAAAAAAAATTTTTGTTTTCATGATACCTGAGGGTGACCCCAGGTACAAAAATGGTGAATATCGATTTTCGAGGAATAAAGTTGAAAAAAGTGATCAGAGACACTCGCACTTTCTTTGAGTCAGAAAACGCTCACGCTCATGCTCACGTGAGCGAAAAAACGCTCATATGAGCGCTCATGAGCGTGAGCGGTACAGCCCTAACATATACCCATCAATCGATAGAGCATCCTCGATAACTATATGATTGGCCCGAACATGACTAGCACTTATCCTGATAATAAGAAAGAAAAGTGCTCCTGGAATCTGATTGGTCCATTTTTGGGCCAATCAAACGGCGATATCCTATTTCTCAATGATGGGATGGGTGGGGACCCCCACATATACCCATCAATCGATAGAGCATTCTCGATAACCCTAGGGTTGGCCCGAACGTGACTATGTGTTTCCCTTACCATAAGGGAGAAAAGGCCTCCTGAAATTTCAATGGATGTTTTTTTGACCTTTGACCTTTGACCTTTGACCCTGCCACAAACAAACAAACGGACGCATTTTTTTCATATGACCCTCCCTTCAGTCGAGGGAATAATTAGTTTTTTTCCATATGTTGTCAAGACAAAATTCGGGTTTG